TTGACGACTAGTGATGTTGAGCATCTTTTCATGTCTGTTGGCCATCTGCATTTCCTCTTTGGAAAAATGTCTATTCAGGTCTTCTGCCCATTAAAAAATTTTTTTTTCTGATACTGAGTTGTATAAGCTGTTTATATATGTTGGATATTAACCACTTACCAGTCATATCATTTGCAAATATTTTTTCCCATTTAGTAGGTTGTCTTTTCATTTTGTCAGTGGTTTCCTTTGCTGTGCAAAAGCTTTTAAGTTTTTTAAGTTAATTAGGACCCATTTATTTATTTTTGCTTTCATTTCCTCTGCTTTAGAAGACAGATCAAAAAAATACTGCCAAAATGTATGTCGAGACTATTCTGCCTATGTTTTCCTCTAGGATTTTATGGTTTCTGGTCTTAAATTTAGGTCTTAAACCATTTTATGTTTATTTTTGTATACGATGTTAGAGAACGTTCTAATTTCATTCTTTTACATGTAGCTGTCCAGGTTTGCCAGCACCACTTGTTGAAAAGGCTCTGTCCTCCATTGTAATTCTTGCCTCCTTTGTTGTAGATTAATTGACCATAAGTGTGTGTGTTTATTTCTGGGCTCATTATTCTGGTCCATTGATTTATGTGTCTGTTTTTGTGCCAGTACTATATTGTTTTGATTACTATAGTTTTGTAGTGTATAGTCTGAAGGTGGGGAGCATGATTCCTCCAGCTCTGTTCTTTCTTGGATTGTTTTGGCTATTTGGGGTTTTGTGTTTTTTTCAGGGTCTTTTGTGTTTCCACATAAATTTAAAAATTGTTCTAATTCTGTGAAAATGCCATTGCTATTTTAATGGGAACTGGAGGAAAGTTAAACTGTCAGTTTAGGATTTTCTTAGTATCATTGTCATCTGTAAAGAGACCACCACAAAACTTAGAGCTCATCAATGAATCCGATAAATTTGCAGGGTACAAAATTAGTGTATAGAGGTGCAACAGTTCATTGACAGTGAACTATCAGAAAGTGAAATTAAGGAAACAATCCCATTTACCATTGCATCAAAAAGAATAAAATATTTAGGAATAAATCTACCTAAGGAGGTAAAAGATCTGTACTCAGAAAACTATAAAATTGTGCTGTACACCAGAAATTGACACATTGTAAACTGACTATCCTTCAGTAAATCATATATATATATATATGAACTATAAGTCACTGATGAAAGAAACTGAAGATGACACAAACAAATGGAAAGATACACTGTGTTATA